CCTACTTTAGAGCTACTTATTATCAAATATCAAAACATGTTCCTACTTTAGAGTTACTTATTAAATATTAAAACATGTTCCTACTTTAAAGCTACTTATTATTAAATATTAAAACATGTTCCTACTTTAAAGCTACTTATTATTAAATATCAAAACATGTTCCTACTTTAGAGTTACTTATCAAATATTAAAACATGATCCTACTTTAGAGCTACTTATTATCAAATATCAAAACATGTTCCTACTTTAGGGTTACTTATTATCAAATATCAAAACATGATCCTACTTTAGAGTTACTTATTATTAAATATTGAAACATGATCCTACTTTAGAGTTACTTATTATTAAATATCAAAACATGTTCCTACTTTAAAGCTACTTACTATTAAATATCAAAATATGATCCTACTTTAAAGCTACTTATTATTAAATATTAAAACATGTTCCTACTTTAAAGCTACTTATTATTAAATATTAAAACATGTTCCTACTTTAAAGCTACTTATTATTAAATATTAAAACTCTAAAGTAGGAACATGTTTTAATATTTAATAATAAGTAGCTTTAAAGTAGGAACATGCTACTTATTATTAAATATTAAAACATGATCCTACTTTAGAGCTACTTATTATCAAATATTACATATTCCTACTTTAAAGCTACTTATTATTAAATATCAAAACATGTTCCTTCTTTAGAGCTACTTATTATTAAATATTAAAACATGTTCCTACTTTAGAGTTACTTATTATTAAATATTAAAACATGTTCCTACTTTAGAGCTACTTATCATTAAATATTAAAACATGTTCCTTCTTTAGAGCTACTTATTATTAAATATTAAAACATGATCCTACTTTAGAGCTACTTATTACTTTTCATAACATGAGTTACAAAGATCTGAAACTGAACTGGTGCAAAGTTACAGAAGAGAAGAATACTCCTATGTTAACAATCAATTCTGCCCTCACACAGCAAGACATCAAATGGAAACACTTCTAGAACCAACTTACCTAATGAGTGGAGTGTCACTTGTATATCCACCATCATATTCTGTAGCTTCCTCAAGAGCATTGAAGTCAAAGTGCTGAAAACAACAAACTTATATTACAATTTATAGCATTTTTTCATAGAACTATTCATTACTAATTCATTGCTCTTTCAACATATTCCTACATATTCTGTGTTAATCACAGATGTGCAGATCCAACATCAGACACATTTCACTATGCAGACACACCAGTTATATTAGTAAACTATACTAAATTATTTTATTATAATTACTTGGAGAATTATACAAACAACAAGATACACTGTTCAACAATAGTTACTTGGAGTACTATACAAACACCAAGATACACTGTTCAACAATAGTTAGTTCACATTATTATACTACCACTTAGATAAACTGTTCAACAATAGTTATTTTGGAGTACGATACAAACACCAAGATACACTGTTCAACAATAGTTAGTTCACAGTACTATACTACCACCTAGTTAAACTGTTCAACAATAGTTACTTGGAGTACTATACAAACACCAAGATACACTGTTCAACAATAGTTAGTTCACATTATTATACTACCACCTAGATAAACTGTTCAACAATAGTTACTTGGAGTACTATACAAACACCAAGATACACTGTTCAACAATAGTTAGTTCACAGTACTATACTACCACCTAGTTAAACTGTTCAACAATAGTTACTTGGAGTACTATACAAACACCAAGATAAACTGTTCAAAATATTTACTTCAGAGTATTATAGTAACACCAAGATAAACAGTTAAGCAATAGTTACTAGAAGTACTATAATGACACCAATATAAACTGTTCAACAATAGTTACTTAGAGTGCTATACTAACACTAATATAAACTGTTCAACAGTAGTTACTTGGAGTGCTATACTAACACCAATATAAACTGTTCAACAATAGTTACTTGGAGTGCTATACTAACACCAATATAAACTCTTCAACAATAGTTACTT